CCTTTAAAGTTGTCCAAATTAAGTTCTTAGCAATGCATATTACTAATCAAAAATTAAGTTTTAATATATTTACAGTAGGAAATTTACAAAATATATTCATGAAACATCTTTACATCATCTTTACTTAATATCCTAATGATTTTTGGCATGAAAGAAAAATCAATAATTTTGACCCATACTATGTATTTTTGGTTATTGCTACAAACATACCCCAGTGACTTAAAAGACTGGTTTTGTGGTCCAGGATCACATATAGCTAATTTGTGCATTGACAGCTAATGATCACCATGCACGTTCATTATAAGCAAAAGAAAAGCTTGGACATCACCTTTTGTGGTTCCAAGAAAAGAAAACGAATTTAGACTGACATGGTGAGAAAATGGCTGAACTATTGCCGATTTTTCATTTAAAGGAAAAATGTGAATATCTTCTGCTAAATCCCTTATTAATCTACCAGTAAGATCATATTTAAATCCGGCTCCCAGGATTCCACACATGAGCGTGAAAATGTAAAAGTATGAACCCCGCGAGGAGCATTTCAGTTAATTTTCTGGACTCTAGAAGTCATGCGAGCATTGAAATATATGGTTATTTAGCTACCGATAAAACCTTTAACACATTTCCACATATTTAAATCCCATCACACATTAGCTCAAAAAGTAAAAAATAGAGTGTGGATTATGCAGTGTATTTGCCGGGCTCTCTAGCAGACATAAGAGCGTGGAAATATAAGGTGTTACCAAACACCGTAACAAGCTCTATCCAGTCACAGAGCCAGCGATAGCACTGAAAGATGAGATGAAATTAAAGTTTTATTTCCGTCAGCGCATGTGGGAGACGTTTAAGAGAATGATATAACGATGACGGCTGTGATGCCATTGAGGAGCCAGAGTAATCTGATTCACGAAACGGGATTTTCAGAGATGAACTGCACTTAGCGCTTATGGGAGTGTTCGCAGACACACACTCAAACACACTCCTACCTGTTTCTACCCTCAACCCACCTCTGTGACTCCCACCTGCTCTCTTCATGTGTATGTATGTGTTTGAGCAGAGAAATAGTTCAGCGGGGAATGTGACTCTGGTTCCAAGAATAGCCGTGAGTCTGAAACCTCTCATCTCCTAGCAACAGGCTCCCCCACGCCCTCTCCAGCCATTTCAATACATTTCTTCTGTCCTTTTCACGATTACTTTGTGCTCTCTCTCCTTCCTTCACCTTTATGCTCCGTCTTCAAAGTTCCAGCTGAGCTGCTCTTTATTTAGTCTCTATCACTATTTCTCAAATTAACCGAAGCAGACTTCCTTTGTGTTTAAATCTTTGCACGACTGCTGGTTATGTAATTCTGCTTTAGAATTGGAGGCGTTTTTTTTTATTTATTTATGTTTTAATACGGCAGTTGCAGCGATTGGAAGACGCGCTGCTGCGTTTTGAACCAAAGAGCTTCTGAGAACATTCTGTGCTTAATATAACTCGTTCTTGGCTGCCCTTTTTTTAAGGACAAAAAAAATATATCACTGAACCGCACAGACTGTGCTTGCTTCCTCTCTCAGCATCCCTGCCTGTCCTTGCACATCATTCCCACTTAGTGTAGCTCCTGCGTTGTTTTCCCTGCTCCGGGTTCAGGGTCAGATTGTCTCTGAACGGTAACTGTAATGCTTCACGAACAGCTGACCCCAGATCAGGTAACTTTGCTTACACTGATCATTCCTCAGGTGCACTTTAACTATTCTTCTGCTAGTAGCATGTTTCTCTTTCCTTTGTCCACTTGTATTGCTCCTTCACCTGACCCAGCCTTGTTTTTCTTCCTCTAAATTTCCTCTTGTGCAGAAGAACTTTCAAGTTGTCTTGCTCTGAACCCAAACCTTCACATGCACCCTAAAATTATTCTTCCAGTCATTTTCTTTGACTGATACACACACAGCTATGCTGCATTTGAGATCTCCTCCCAGCTCTTTCCTCTTTGCCCCAAATGAACATTTGAAAATTTGAAAACCCAAAAAAACCAACAGCTACTTTTTTATATATATATTGTCTCACAGGTTCCTCCATTTTTCTCACTTGTCTCCTTTTCATTCTCTCTGTAGAAGCGGAAGTCGAGCTCTACCATTCAGTACATGGTGAGAATCTTGTTTCATTTACGCCCTTCTGTTTTCTTTCATCTTCCTCTTCTTGTACCTCCACCTACTGTACCAGCTATTGTGCGACACTTTCCTCTAAAGTCGTACTTCCTGCATTTCTGTGGGACCTAATGAATTGATGGCCATTATTAAACCTACTCAGACTGGTTCTGTTTAAATAAATAAAGAAATAAAATGGTGGGTTTTTTTACTGGTCAACTAATCTTAAATCTTAGTCTCAGCCTCACAGGCCACCCACACTCTATCCACTGAGCACCTGATTCATATTGTCTGATTGGCTGACTTTAGCCTGGTTTTTCCACATCAAGAATGATAACAGTACCTATGTTAGTTTCCACACTTATGGAAGATAACGCTCATAGAATTAGAACAAGCACTGAAACTACATAGTTAAAGGAATAGTTCACCCAAAAATTATTTTAATAAAGACCTCCCGAAGCGAATTGATGCATTTGTGTAAGAAAAGTACCCATATTTATGGATATCCATATTTACGGGTACGGCACTCTCTCGTGAACACGCGTGCAACAGTTAGCAGAAGCTAGAGATTACGGTTTATGAAGTTTTAAGTATGTATATTATAATTAAATATAAATGTCTATTATAATTTTGAGCAAAATATTTTTTATCAGTTTAACTGTTATACAGCATGACGAAAATGTGACTACGATTTCATTGACTAAAATGCTTAGACAATTAGTCGACTAAAACCTGACTAAAAAACAGGACACGGTTGACTAAATATAATAACAAAAATATACATTTGACAAAAGACTAAAGCCCCGTTCACACCAAGAACGATAACTTTAAAGATAAAGATAAATATAAAGATAACGATATTAGCGCCCACACCAGCGAATGATATCGTCTGTAAGCGCACGCTTGCTTGCCAGGTGATTCTGGCAGTCAATGTTTTTATCGTTCATCAGCTGGAATCAGTGATTCCAACGATATCGTTTCTCTGTGCCTTTATCGTTATAGCTATGGTGTGGACTCTGCTATTCTTTAATATTGAGAAACATTTTTAGAACTGCATCTTTAGCATTATCTTTATAGTTATTGTGCTTGGTGTAAACAAGCCTTAAGACTAAATTGAAAAATGACTTACAAAATTAACACTATTGGTGTGAACAGGCCTGAAGGGCACGCGTCTAGTCTTGTTTTATATAAACTAATTCAGATAAACCTGCCCATAAGTGGCACATAAAAACTAAGTGAACAGACTGGTTGCTTTACATGTCAGTCGGTATCTGAATGTCTAAGCGGGCAGTTCTTGGCCAGAACACACTGTGGACTAGACTTTTTGGAGCTCAGTCAAAGATCTTGCTTTGTGAGACCACTTGAACCCAGTAAATGTGTCCCGCTTTCTTTAGTATTTTCTGACAAACACTGGGTTCCTCCTACTTGCTGTTCTTTACCGTGTTTGAATCAACCAGCTCCTATTGACACCACAGACCTCTTGGGTCTCATTCTGCATGTTGGTAATCGGATGTATTTTGGTTGACACTGACCACTCCAGAAGCTTTCTAAAGCAGGTTTAGGAGAGTCCTTTCTGCTCATACACAGGTAGGCAATGGAAAAGACACAGAATAAGACCCTGTGTTTTTCCCAATATTTCCATAGGATCTGAAGATCCTATTTATGCACATCCCAGGGTTCTGACTGCACCAAATCTGCTTGCTTCCTTTGCAGGATTGACGCTTATGTTCTCTGTGCTCAGGATTTTTTTCTTATGGTTCCCATAAGAGGGATAGCATTGCTGGTTGTCCTTCCTGATGATATCCCTGTATACTTGGATAAAGTTGGACTTCCATAGCGACCCATGACCATCTGCGATAAGTTTTTGGGAATTGTTAATGTTTACATTAAGTCTGCTAGCCATCATATGGTCCAGTTAGGAACAATATGTATTTGAATGTGTGCCCATAGTGCCAAAGTCATTTCATGATGTGTTTGTGCTCGTGTATGTGGGTTTATTTCATGTTTGTGAGGATCCAGTAGTCGTGATCTGCTGTTCATTCATCTCCCTTGACCTGCCTTCCGCACATAGACACATGATAACGACACCTCTCACGCGAGTGCCTGAGCCGTACGAGGGGAAACGCACCGTTAGCTACCTCGATATCACCGCAAGCTCATAGACGTGAGGCCTGAGGGACCCCGAGTACAAATAAACACCCATTGCTAATCCGCCTCTGCATGTAATGTGGCTAATTAGTATAATGGATTAGTTTAGGAAGCCTAATTGGCGAAAAGCATTTTTATGGACTTTAATAATGACCCTCCCGTCCCTCTCGCTGCTAGAGAACATTGTGTCTCGATGAATAAGGTTGTTTTCATGTAACTAGGTAGTTGGCACTACATCAGTCAGTTACCTTAAAACAGATAATGACTGTACCCTACTGCATGTGTGAGTGTGATTGTGTGCATGTGCATGCCGATCTCTCCCTCGTTCCTTCTTAACTGAATGTATGTTGTGTTTCCCTGCACAGCCCCAGACAAACAGCACCAAAAACAGCATAGTCACCAGTCCCAAGGGAAACCTCCCCTCTCCTGCACTGGTATTTACCTCTCTAATCCTTTTCTTTTCTTCCACTCCATCCTTTTTTCCCTTCTGTCTGTGACTGTACTTGCAATCTGTTTTCTTTTGAGCTGTTTTGCAAACTTTTTTATTGCATATGAGTACAAACCTTGTGAAAAAAATGTGCAATTAAAAGTAAATAATATAAACATTATGTATATTATAATGCAGGCGTGAAATAATTGAATAAAATGGATGAACTGTATATAGATACAGTGGCCTCTAATTATATTTGTGCACTGTAGCTGCCCTAAAATGTATGCAGTCATTTTCGCTATTACTTTTAACCAACTGGTCTCAGGGTGATTTTAGTGGATGTAAGAAGTTCTCTATTTCTCAAGTTCTCAAATGTGTCTTAAAAGAGTAACTACATGTACAGTTCATCATATTAATGATGAACATGTTACACTATGGTTTGAGAACCACAATGTGGCCATATGCATTAATTTTTAACAATATGTCAGTTTGAAACCTAACAAAAAGTGCTTGTGATATCTTTTCTGAAACACAAGACACTTGGTTTGATGATCAGTTATCTAATCCAATGACATTCTTGCATTTTTAAGTGTCTAAAGTGACCAGATTCTTTTGGGGCCGTTATATTTCAGTATATTCAGTGAGCAGTGTTCAGGCATCTGCAGCATCATCATTAAGATCTGGATTGGTTTGGGGATAGAAACTCCTCCTGGAGCTCTTAGAATCAGCCCTTAAACTGTTTTTACAGTTTCCTGGCTGCAGTGCTGAGAAGAGGCTGTTTGGTTCACTGAGATCCTTAATGGTGTTCCTCGCTTAAATCCACTGGCTCTAGTATACTGTAGTTGTCAATTGAGTTTAATGTTTACAGCCCTGAGCAGTGCAGGTGTGTGTGTGTGTGTGCATGCGTGCGTGCGTGCGTGGGTGCGTGCGTGCATGCGCGTATCTCAGAAAGTTTGAAGAACAGCATTTATTTGTAACTGATTCTTTTTTGTAACATTCTAAATGACTTTAATGTCATGTTTGATTTATGCGATCAATTTATTTAAAAAAATTCTTACTGACAAATATGTTTGTGTGTGTGTGTGTGTGTATATGTACTATTTATTTTATACTTGAGAGATCTGTGAATTCTCTAGGAATTGTGCCTGCTGTTTTCATACATTATGAATACACTGTTTATTTTATTTGCAAGCATCTCTTATATAAAACTCTGTTGTATGCAATGCTAATTTCACCAAGTGAAAGGAGGTGTGTTTGTGCTGAAAATAAAAATATTATTTAAATTTAAAGGCACAGCACTATTCCAAAGTAGGTAGTTTCGAATAAGGTTTTGTAAATGACCCAGTCTTTAAGTGGCACAGTTGTTTTTTGAATTAAGCCTTATGCTTTATGTCTATGTCCATGGACCCAGTTAAGCTATTTATTCGGTTGCTCTCTGACATTCTGATATATTACTATACACTCTAGTCACACATTTATGGGGTTGTTTATTTGATTGCATAATGCCAGTTTGCCTTTCAGTGTCTGCTTTGATCCGGTGGATGATGAAGGTTGTTTGTTGCTTGGAGTTGGCAGGGAATTTAATAAATGTCATTATGCCAGGGTGGTGGGTACATGAATGATGTGATTGTTTAATGTTTAATGATATGCTTGAGGGATATAGATGGATAGTCTATGTTCTGAGGGGAGTTTTGTCGATTTCTGTGGTCTGTAAAAGCTCTGTGAAGAGGTTTTAGAGTGAACTCCAAGCATTAAGGAAGGAAGCTCCTAATGGAAACATGACATGCGTTTCAACACATCCAGCTATTGCAACACGTGGCCCAATACATCAGAATATTTTAGGATCTCTCATAGTTGCCCTTTAATGCTGCCACTGTGGCGTTTGTGTGTGTGTACATGGTGCGTTTTATAGTGCAGATAGAGTTACTCAACCCTGAAGTGAAGTGAGGAGGTGTTTATAACTTCTTAACTCCAAGCAAAATATCTTCTGTGTTCAACAGAACAAAGAAATTGTGTGTGTACATGGTGCGTTTTATAGTGCAGATAGAGTTACTCAACCCTGAAGTGAAGTGAGGAGGTGTTTATGGTCAGTAAAGACTCTAGCCTTAGTGCTTTGTTTCATTGCTTCCCTTCCAGCTTTACTATTAACTGTATGGTTATGTAGGACTGGGTGATATTTTTATTTTGTACCCTTATTTGATATATATCTCCATATTATGGTTTTGTATTTAAAATTTGCTAATTTTAACCAAGCAGCCAAGGATACTCAAAATATTGTATGTAAGAACTAAAAAAAAAAATTAATAATAATTAAATCTTAAAAAAAAAACTAACTACTAACAATGCATGGTAGTATACAACAATATTTATCTTGTATTTTCTATATTTTGAATATTTTACTAAAACGTTTAGTATTTGGAAAATGGTCAACACTCTTCATTGACAAATGAAGTGTTGAGTTTGAACAGGACAGTTTGAACTCTTATCAATGCTAACACTGTTTTATTTAAAGACAGCATTAAAACATCTGTCGTAATGCATAATATGTCATAAGACATTATATATATATAGCTATATGACAATAAAAATTAATTTGTTAAGGTATAGTTCATCCAAAAATGAAAATCCTGTCATTATTTATTCACCCTCAAGTTGTTCCAAACCTGTATGAATGTTTCTTCTGTTTGTTTTTTTTCCATACTATGGAAGTCAGTGGCTACCGTCAACTGGTTGGTTACCAACATTCATCCAAAATATCTTCTGTGTTCAACAGAACAAAGAAATTCATACAGGTTTGGAACAACTTGAGGTTGCAAAAAAAAATTTGACAGAATTTTTGGCTGAACTTTCCCTTTAAAAATGAATTTTTTGTCAGCATTTCCAGATTCTTATAGACTCTGAGTAACCTTAGTATGCGACTGCTGCCTGTTGCACGGGGCAACGGTTGTCATAGCAATGAATACCCCATAATGATGGGGAGCGCAGGCTGCTGATTGGCCAGTGAGGGAATGTTAGTTCCTGCAAGAGAGAAGTGGGCATTACAGATTTATGCGCTCTGATGTGCGTCTAGCTAGCAGGTTTCCGGGGTTAACGGCATAAAATAAACATGTTCGTTTAGCCGCTGCGATAGCGTCCGTCGAAATCACGCTATTTCACTTTCAGCGATACGTTGCTGTGCGTTCGTAGTCTGTTGTTTTGAAATATTAGAGCCTAGCGTGCAATCATTTGTTTTATGAAGCTCTCCGCTGTTGAACCTCTGGTGGTTTTTGTGCATGTTTTGTTTGTTCATTTTTACTGGGTTGGCAATCACAAACACCCATCCACCCACACGCTCTCTCTCTCTCTCTCTCTCTCTCTCTCACTTGTTATTTTTTTCTCCTCATCTTTTTCCACCCCCTCCTCCCCTGTCGCTCTGTAGGAGGCACAGACCACTGTCATCCATAATGCAGTGGATGGGATTAAGGTACCCCACCACCACCACTCTTCTTCTTTCTTTCCCACCATCCGTCCTCTGTTTGATCTGCATCCCCACAATGCATTTCTGCTAATGTGACTACAGACTATGACATCATGCCTGTTGGCTGCATGCGTGACTCTTTTGACGTTTAATGTGTACTCGCACTCGTGCTCTTTGAAACTGGTTCAATTACTCATTACTATTAACAAATTGTGCCTAAGCATAACATGCAAACGAGTATTCTAACGAAACGCATGTGGTGTCGAAGTATCGAGTCGTTTGTGTGCCGCTCCTTTCTGATTGTTTCGAGATAAATTGTAATAGTGATATTATTATGAATGATCATGACGATGGGAAATGACTCTTGACACATCAGATGTTTGCAGTATGAGGCTGAAGAGCAACAGTTGGAAGTCTGTGTCATGATAAGAATATTAAACCTGCTGTCTCGGGTCTCTCTGCTTCTGACTGTGTGACAGAGAGACCTCTTGTGGGGGACGTTGAAAGTGCCACTTGCGAAACAAGTTCCCTTGGCATTAAAAAATGATTCCTGATGAAGTCTTTTTTTTTTTTTTTTTGCATTTTGTACTTCTAGTGGAAGAGAAATTACACAATTCTTTAAAAAAATAAAACATAGAATAGAAATTAAATGGAATACATTTAAATGTAGATATTTCTTTGAAATAGAATTTCTCGTAATACTTGTACAGTCATTTTTGATTAATTTAATGCACCCGTGAAAAAAACAATTATATGTATGTATGTATGTATGTATGTATATGTATATATATATATATATATATATATATATTTTTTTTTTTTATTTTTTTTTTTTTATTCTATTTAAATTAATTTATATTTTTAAACCGAGTTGTCGGTGAATTTACTAGGGATTGTGCCTGCTGATTACAGTACATAATTTTATATGCAAGCAGCTTTCAAATAAAACAAAACTGAAAAGTGGCTCATTTGTGCTAAGAGTAACAATGTATTCATTAAAATACTTGAATTTATAGGCACAGAACCATGAATTTAACTATCTGTCAGTACAATGTAAATGTTAAAGATTCATGCATGTGTTTCGAAAGCAAAGAAAATGTTTGGCTGCTGTATATTGAATTTGTCCCGTTACTGAAGCAGGATTTTGCAGAGGCAAGTGGATGCAGAAGCAACACGTCGATTCTCCCAGGCGGCTGTAGTGAAGTGTAGATCTGGGCCGAGTTGTTCTGCCAGCGGTTACTGTTCTGTGTGAATTCTGAATTGGGCTTAATCTCCCCCTTGAATATGAGCTACTAGACCCTTGCGTGGGAAGCTGTCCATTTCACCACGTTTGACACTTTCCTTGTACAGGTGTAACAAGGTCTGTAGCGCAGCGTAGATGATGGAATGACAGAACAAAAGCCTTTTCAAGAGCACCTAATAATATCGCCCCACATACTGATGGCCTATTTACAGCAGGAGCTGGTGTCCTTGGTGATCGCTGCGGTTACACTGTGACAGGTGCACGGTCCCGTTTCTCAGGTGACCATGCCCTCCTCCTCCTCATTTCCTATTGAGACATCATTCTGTCGATGAATTCAGTTGAGTAATAAGGTACAAGAGGAAGTGCTGCGGTGTGTAAATACTTACAGCTACAAGGTGTTGTTGCAGCCCCTTCAGCTTTGACTGTTTTCTCAATATGGCATGGCTAATTTAAAAATCCAAAATATTTGTTCAAACTTTATTTTTTTAAGAATTTTATTGCAATAGTTTTGCATCAGGACTCTGCTTTAAATTAGACATCAAGTGGTGACCCAACACAGGACCAAAATTATTTATCATACAGGTGGACATAGTAGTTTTTTTTAACTTTTTTTATATTAAAATAAGGGTTATTATAGCATTATACCATTAATTATTATTATTTTTTAATCAAATAAAATGAACTTTTTAAGCCCTTAAACTTCAATTAGTGTAACTTGATCTACTGAAATAACTAAAAAAAATTGAAATAAAAATTATAAATATATAACTTTTTATATAGAATTGTTTTTTATTTCAGTGTTTAGTAAAATGCCATGACAAAATTTCAGATTTTTGTGTGGCTTGTATTTCCGCTTTGTTCAATTACCAAAAATGATTTAGATAATAATAATAGTTTGTTAAAAAATAGTTTTAGTTAACAGAAATAACACTTTTACTTTTTGACCCTACTCAATGTATGTTTTGCAAGGTTCCCCTTTCTGTTAAACATAATTTATTGGACTGTCCAGCTTTTAATGTACAGAGAAAACTCTTTTATGACGCGAACTCACTTAAAGAGTTTAGTCAAATTTTGCCAGGAAAAGTTTTAGAATTTTTATCACGTTAATATAAAAAATCTTGTGTGATATAACTTGTGTTTGTTTGTTTGCTGGTTTTTATTGTATTTATTATACTTATAAATATAAAAAAATATATTTTTTTTTATTGTTTTTGCCATGAAAATAGCCTTTGATTCTGACATGGCATTAAATAAATATATGCTATGCTTTTACTTTTTCTTTGATATATTTTGTTCGAGTTTTTTGAAGATTAGGATTAGAATTTGATCGTCTTCTAATGCCAGAATATATTCAATCGTTCAGTTGGACATAACCCCAATTTTCAAATCCACACTTTATTTTTCTTTTCAGTCAGAAGCTCTGAGGCTGCTTAGTAAGACCCATCAAATCACATCTAAGAAATTGAACACGAATTCACATGATGCAAAATAAATGTGCATCCAGTATGCACCAAAGAAGACTGCTGCAGGCCAAGAATGTGTTGTTTTATATTACTCTCTGAGCGTGGAAGCGTTTGCAGTATTCTTGTACTCATCTCTCAGATTTCAGCACAGGATATTGTGAAATTAGGAAAGAGAATTGAGTTCATAACGTTCATTCCTGGTGGAGGTGTGGCCTGTGTTTAATATCATTATGTATGTGAGTGGGATTATAACAAACATAACAAGCCTCTTCTAATGGCCATGCATCATTGAACGGTTAATTGTGTGTGTGATTCCCCAGAGTTCTGCTGTTTATGTGTTCATTTATGGTGTGTGTGTATGACAATGAGAGAGAGGGGGCTTTGGCACTAGCTGGTGTAATTCTTTCTGAAAAATGTTAATATATTGTCTAACTAATTGGCGCTCTGTGTCTGAATATCACAGGAGTCATCGGATAGCAGTAATGCCACAGTGGAGGACGAGGAAATGAAAGGTAAGACTCAACTATCAGCATTTGTATGGAACAACACACAAGCTTTTGTTCAGACAGGCTGCAACAATCTGATAGTTGTTTGTAGTCTGAATAGCAAAGAAAATATAATACCGTATGTAGGTTGAAATCCAATTAAAATCAGATTTTTGTTCAGTACATTCAGGGTGTCATCTTTCTGCAATGATAACTGCTCTCTTACAGTATGTCTTTTCACATTGGGCTGATTCGAAAGGGATTGTTCACCCAAAAATGGAAATTCTGTATTAAATAATTAAACTGAATAGTTATTTACTCATCTTTGTGTTGTTCCATGACTGTATGATTTGCTTTCTTCTCCAAAACACACAAAAGAAGAGATTTTAAAGAATGTTTTAACTGTTTTTTCCATGCAGTGAAGGTCAGTGGGATCCAAAACAACACTGAACCTCATTGACTGTCATTGCATAGACGACAAAAAAAAAATTATTTGGAATATTCTTGTGGATATCTTCTTTTGTGTTGCACAGAAGAAGTAAAATACAGGTTTGGCAAGTAAATGAAAGAGTCTTCATATTTGGGTGTACTATCACTTTAAGTATTTTTTATGGCGACCAATATATAGTCGATGAGAGATGTTGACACTGTCAAAATCAGATTTGACATAGTTACAAAGCAAACCGTCAGTCCTAAATATTCATATTCATATTTGGAAAAACAAATCAGATTTACACTACCATTTAAACGTTTGTTTTATGGAAAGACATTTTTATTCAGCAATGATGAATTAAATTGATCAAAAGTGATTGTAATAACATTTGAAGTATTCCAAAAGCCTTCTATTTCAAATGAATGCTGTTCTTTTTAACTTTATATTAATTGAAAAAAAATGGAAAAAAGTACTCTGAAAAATATTAAGCAGCCCATTTGTTTTCAATGTTGTTTATAAGATTTTTTTTTTTTCATTGAACAGAAATGATTAGAATGATTTCTGAAGGATCATGTGACACTGAAGACTTAAATTGAATTTTTAAATGTATTCAAGTAGAAAACAGTTCTTTTAAATTGTAATAACATTTCACAATATTACTGGTTTACCTGTATTTTTGATCAAATAAATGCAGCCTTGGAGAGCGTTAGAGAATTCTTAAAAAAAAAAATAAAAACATTAAGACCTCAAACTTTTTAAATGGTAGTGTATGCAGAGTAGAAACAAAAGTCTATAAACATTTGATATTCACGTCATGGTCCATTAATAGTAAACTGAGAAATGTAGTGAGAAGTTTTTATCCTGAGCTCATTCGGTGCTCACTTCTGGGCTCAAAACTGTGTTCTGGGTTGGTGTCAGCTCTCTCTGCCCCAGAACAAGGCAAGGGCACCTTGTGCTATAATTAAGCTCAGTGGGAAACAGAGACCCTGGCTATTTCAGAGCATGTGTGTGAGTGTGTGTATGAGCAGAAAACTTGCCGCCAAATTTCTGGGCAGACGGCGTGCATGACAGGAGTGTGATGTCTTGTTTTCACGATCACACAAAAGAGACGGTGAGAAGGGTGTGTGTGTGTGTGTGTGTGTGTGTGTGTGTGACGGTGAGAAGTGTGTGTATGTGTGTGTGTGTTACTTCTAGGTGGTGTTGGGAAATATCTGGCTGCAATAGTTGAGTGATGAATTATGGCGCAGCTGTTATAAAGTTAGCTTTATAACATCTATGCTAGCTTGACTGTAAAGCACTTGAATAGAGGCAGTTTATAAGGACTGTAAATGAGTATTTTCAAGCTTTGAATATGTGTTTTTGAGTCAATCACGTTGATTTCTGCAACCTGCTAGCATGATTTTTATGGTCCTGTTTAGTTTGTTTAGTCCTGTTTAGTCCAGTATTGATTTGGTTTGGGAAAATATTCTATTTTGTTGTTTTATTGTATTATGTTTCATTATATTTACTGTACTGTTTGATTAAGTTTTGGTTGTCATCTTTTGCTCAGTCTTTGTTTTGCTTCGTTCCTGTTGATATTAATACAAGCAGATTTCATGCGCTGCAGAAAATAGCTGGTAGAACTTACGAAATAAGACATTTAGAGATGTTTATGCTTAAAACTAATGAAAAAAATCTGCCAGTGGAACAAGACAAAAGAATTAGTTATATTCTAGATAGATTCTCTGAAAGCAAGTCTTTATAATGTGTCCAGTTTTGCTTCTCATATACTTGTCTTGGTTTAAAGGAATACTTCATCCGAAAATGAACATTTCTGATTCTTTAGTGTCTTGTAATCAAACTTCATGAAGTCAGACCTACTCTACTGGCATAGAATTTTCGGTTTTGGGTGACATATTCCATTAAGTATCTTTCATTTAAAAATAGAATTTTTGGATTGCGTATCATTCGTTGGTCTTGTATACTGCAGTAACACTTAGCTGGAACCACCACACTTCACATGAAGGCATCTCGCTCCTCCAGCCTTTTCTAGGCTTGAGAATGGCTGCAAAAACCCTGTTGACATCAGTATGCTTTCTGTGTCCCATCTCTCTCTCTCTCTCTCTGTGCGATGTTGGGGCGCGTGTCACAGGAAAGCTTGTAGATAACAGTTCAGTTCAGTCAAACCCCAGCACCCAGCCTGACTCCGCCCACACACCTCCAAGCCCCTCCCCCACTCTCTTCAGTAAGTGCCCTCTGACTGCCGTGACCTCATCCACCTTCCCATAATCCCCTTTTGCATGTGTGTGATGCAGATCAGCACTAAAATTAGTAAAGTTGTGCCATCAAATGAGAGGCATTAATGAAGATTGTGGTTGTAATTTGTGTTCTCATTAGTAAACGGATACCTTAATGTTTTTAGTTTAGCAGTTTTCTGTGTCCTAAATGTTTAACCATTTTCAGGTGTTTTTTCTGGATTTATTTAGATGGATAATTCAACAAAAAAAAATGAAAATTGTCATCATTTACTCTCCCTTATTTACTCTTTACCTTACTTTCATGTTCTTCCAAGCGTGTATGAGTTTCTTTTCCTCTAAGGGGGGTGTTTACACAAAATGCTATTTTCAACTTAAAAAACGGAAAACCTTTAATGTGTTTTCGCCATTCATTTACACAAGTTTCAAAGTGCGAGTTTTTGAAAATGATACTGTTATAGTCTCGAATATTATCATCAAATTTTTTTATGTCATGGGCATGCGTATTACGTGTTTGAATAGTGTTCCTTTAAAAAGTGATATTGCCAACTACTGGCCTGGCATGCATAATACAGCACTGTAAGTTGTTTTCGTGGATCCAGGAATCGTTTTTGACAAAGTTGTCGTCTGTGCACAAAAAAACGCACAGGAAAAGCTTTTCCGTTTTTAGCTTATAGTTGTTGTATAAACGTACCCTGAAAAAGAAATTAGATATTATAAATATATATGTAATGTGTGTGTATATATATATATGCACATTATCGTTCAAAATTTTGGGGTCACTTAAGATTTTTTAAAAGTATTGCATGCCCACTGAGACTTTTATTTAATCAAAATTTCAGAAATTAAGTAATATTGTGAAATAACATTACAATTTAAAATAACTTATATTTGAATATATTTCAAAATGTGATTTATTCCTGTGATGGAAAAACTGTATTTTCAGCATTACTTTAGTGCTACATGATCCTTTAGAGATCATTCTGATAAGCTGAATTGGTGTTCAAGAAACATTTCTTATTCTGGATTCTTTGATGAATAGAAAATAGAAAACCGTTTATTCCTAATTACCTTTAAAGGGAAAGTTCACCCAAAAGTGTAAATTCAGTCATTAATTACTCACCCTCATGTCGTTCCAAACCCGCAAGACGTTTGTTCATCTTCGGAACACAAATGAAGATATTTTTGATTAAATTTTAATTTGTGTTCCGAAGATGAACGAAGTTCTTACGGGTTTGGAACGACATGAGGGGGAGTAATTAATGGCAGAATTTTCATTTTTGGGTGAACTATCCCTTAACTTTTGAACGATAGTGTATATTACATTTAGAAAAATACCATACAAGTCCATTTAATCATTTGCTATGGTCTTATGGTAGCTTTGTGTAAAAAGGCTGAAATTATTTACTAATAAATCTTACTTCTACTGCAGCTCAGATACCCCAAAATCATTGAATTGTATACAATGATAAAATACCCATTTTTGAGTTAACTGTTCCATTAATGCCACTGCTATTCCTGTTCCGCTCCTTTTCTAAGCTCAACTCCACTCTGTTATTTCTGTCCTGCCCTGTCTGGGCCCACAGCTGCCACTAAGTTCACTGATCTATTGGGTGTGGTACGTCGGGGCTCGTTGCCCACATCTGATGGTGAGGGGGGAAGCAAGCACTGTGTAACTTTTTCTGTGTTCAAAATTTGCTAAATGTATACAATGAGCGAGTACATCATGAATTCATCTTCCAAATTGCGTTTTTGTCTTGTCCCGAATCACTACGGTACACTTATAACTAAGCTCAACTCCACTCTGTTATTTCTGTCCTGCCCTGTCTGGGCCCACAGCTGCCACTAAGTTCACTGATCTATTGGGTGTGGTACGTCGGGGCTCGTTGCCCACATCTGATGGTGAGGGGGGAAGCACTATCACTCCAGCTGTTGTTTCTGCCCCCTCCACGCCCCAGACCCCCAGCACTCCCACACAGAGTAAGTCCCTGATGGACCAGTATGCAAGAGAGGTCCATTCAGGAGTAGTTGCTGACTCCATGTTTATTACAAACTTGTCACTCACTGCATGTTTGATTCGCCATGTTTTCTCCTAGCAGCTAGTTGTTTATCTCTCTTTTTTTTCTGTCATCTGCCTTTCATCAATTATGCATCCAGTGTCACGTTTAACTGACCTAGTGAGCAGTGTGCGCAGACCTACAGCCCCTCATACAGACAGTGAGCCATCAGCAGCCAGCAGAACCCTTACTGCCCCAGTATCTGCCCCATCACACCCCTCCCCTTCCCCTGCCCAACCGTCCTCCAGCCCCCTGCCGTCAGCACATTGTGAGTATGTGGTGTCAGTGTCTGTGCTGGCATTACTGGCACAGCAGCATGAGTTTTTGATTTCTCACCGCTGCGGAGTAACACATACCTGCGTGAATCGCCATAGACATAAACTCAGAGAAGCAGCTCCGGTTGGAATGTTCTTCCGCGGGATTTGTGCAGTTCTGTTTATTAATCGCTAGAGCGCCAAAAGTTACATAGTGCTGCTTAAAGTGGTAGAATCTTGTCAACCGGTAGAGATTTCGGACTATTGTCTCAATCGCGGTTACACGCTCATGTGACTTTGCTGTGTTACATGGTGATGAAAATGTATCGTTTGCACACGTTTTTAAGCATTGCGGGTTAAAAACAAGTGATTTTAAGCCACTGAAATGCAGTCAGCAGCAAAAGAGAACTAATTTCTCTATATGCGTGCATTGTCTGAGAGTTATTTTTGCCGCTTTATAGGCTTTGAATGGGTAAATACACACACTTGTATGTTTCAAAATGCCCGTCTTTGCAAGCATCCTCATAATCCACATCCAGAGTAATTAAAAGTGTTAAGTCAAAGCAAACAACTGAGAAAGAAAACATGTGCAACAGTATATTGGATCAAGGCAGCTCTTAAAGTGACAGCAGTCTAATATTCCTCCAGCAGACCCCTTACTGCCCCAGTATCTGCCCCATCACACCCCTCCCCTTCCCCTGCTCAACCGTCCTCGAGCCCCCTGCTGTCAGCACATTGTGAGTATGTGGTGTCAGTGTCTGTGCTGGCATTACTGGCACAGCAGCATGAGTTTTTGATTTCCTGGGAGTATAAAAAGGCAGCGGTGATGCTACTGGGCTAACATGCATACAGTGTGGATTTCACGGGTGATTTAATCACATTGCTGTGTACACCTGGGAGTAGCATGTGTCGTGTCTCAAATGCATCATCTGTGACCACTTTTGTATTATGAAGAGGAGAGTGTCTCACAAGTGTTATTGCAGGCTTTTACAGCACATACACACACAAAAAAATTATATCCCATCCGGGCAGCTCTTAAAGTGACAGCAGTCTAATATTCCTCCTGTCTGTCATTCATGTAAATCAAACAACAAAAGAGAGAAAATCTCACACTGCTCTTGATTAAATCACTTTTGTAACTTTAATAAGAAGAAATATGTATTTAATTTAGACAGTGAACAATATGCAGTGTTTTATACATTTGATTACTTTATACCATGTATGTAGCATTTCTTATTTATTTGTTCTACTATAGTTTATTTTTTGTCCTATTGCTTATAATTCGTTTCTTATTCTTGTTTAATTGCTGACTGTTTACTTGTCTTCAGTGAACTAGATTTATTAATTAATTAATTACATTTTTTTTGGCTACTATTAGTTTTTTTTGTGATATTGACACTGGTGACAAGAATTATGAAATTTCTATGGTATCAAAACTTTTGATATCATAAAGACCTTATTTAAAGCAAAAATAAATAAATAGTGATATACACTGAACAAAATTATAAACGCAACACTTTTGTTTTTGGTGGACATTCCTGCAGTCAGCATGCCAATTGCACGCTCCCTCAAAACTTGCGACATCTGTGGCATTGTGCTGTGTGATAAAACTGCACATTTTAGAGTGGCCTTTTATTGTGGCCAGCCTAAGGCACACCTGTGCAATAATCATGCTGTCTAATCAGCATCTTGATATGCCACACCTGTGAGGTGGATGGATTATCTCGGCAAAGGAGAAGTGCTCACTAACACAGATTTAGACAGATTTGTGAACAATATTTGAGAGAAATAGGCCTTTTGTGTACATAGAAAACGTCTTAGATCTTTGAGTTCAGCTCATGAAAAATGGGGGCAAAAACGTTTATAATTTTGTTAAGTGTATATCGTTACAGTGAAATAAAATTACTCGTATAGTGATTTTGGTCATATTGCCCACCCCTAGCTTTCAAGGCTGCATTTATTAGATCATACAGTAAAAACAGTAATATTGTGAAATATTATTACATTTAAAAATATATTTCTAATTTGATCTTTTTTTAAATAGTAAAAGTTATTTTTCCTGCATTGGCAAAGCTGAATTTTCAGCAGCCAATTCAGTTTTCTTCTTAAAAATGTAAAATGTAAATCCAACATAATTATTATATATTTAAATAATCTAAACAAACCATTTGTGATTGGACCACCTGGTTTTACAGAGAATTATTGCATTGTGTTGCCTGTAGATATTGAGTTGTAATTTAACCTTCAGTTATTTGAGCTGTGGTATTTGAGTCCTGTGACTAACAGAGTTGGAAAGGAAATGCTGTGTGAGAGAGCATGGACGGTAGAGTAGGAGGCTGAAATCTGTTAGGGTGGATGTTCAAACAACCTGTTTTTTTCTGTTTTGTTTAACACATTAGAAATGAGTCTGCTGAATAAAATAGAGCGAACCTGTGGAATGTTTTAAAGGAGATGACTTTGCTTACCCATAATGCTTCTCCTGCGCATACTAGTACAAGATAAGTTGGCTCCTGTTAACACTTGACCTCCTCTTTCTACAGCACGCAAACAGGAGATCATCAAAATCACTGAGCAGCTTATTGAGGCCATCAACAATGGCGACTTTGAAGCCTATGTGTAAGTCACTTGTGTATTTTTAACTTTATTTACCCACAGTTCACCGTAAACGAGATGGCACTGAAACAATGATTTTAATTCTTTCCAGTAAAATCTGCGACCATGGACTCACCTGCTTTGAACCTGAGGCCTTGGGAAACCTGGTGGAGGGGATGGACTTCCACAGATTTTACTTTGAGAACTGTAAGTTGAGTCGGATTACTCTTCACTTCTATCCTGTCGGTCATGACGTCTGTTCATTAAAGTGTGGCCATTTCTCACTCTGTCATAGTGCTGTCTAAGAACAGTAAGCCCATCCACACCACCATCCTCAACCCTCACGTGCACCTGATTGGAGAGGAGGCCGCCTGCATCGCCTACATCCGCCTCACGCAATATGTGGATGGGCAGGGCCGGCCGCGCAGCAGCCAATCGGAAGAGACGAGGGTGTGGCATCGTCGCGACTCCAAATGGCAGAATGTCCATTTCCACTGTTCGGGAGCTCCAGCCGCCCCTCTACAGTGAAGGTATATCCTCGTATAGACGGATATAATGTTATTTAATGCTAGAGTTTTTAACAAATGCTCCTTGTGCCTTAACCAAATTTTCAACGTTTGAATTTGAATTTAAATAAAAAAAATTAAAATAGAAAACTGCTATTTAAAATTGTACAATTATTTCACAATATTACTGTTTTTAATACAGAGTTCTGGCATGAAACTCATGCGCAGTCCGATAGGTCTAGCTCAATCTGACCTGGCGACATCATTGTCACATGGCAGCTGATTGGTTCTCTCCTGTATCGGTAGCCAGTGAGCTTACTGCTCAATATTCAAATACATGGCTTTTGTTTGCTGTAGCAGTTTGCAGCGCGCACAGAAACGCTCCACCTGTATAGATCTGCTACGGGGTGATTCATGTATGCTATATGGGGGTTATTCATATGTGTTATATGTGC